TTTTTTTATGTATATTTTGCCTACCTGCATCCTCAGGGGTGTCTTTCTCACACTGACACTCCATGTCTCAGCAGATGGGAACGCTGTAGTTGGTGTGAAGGTAAGAAGAACAGGCAGCACCACTTCTGCTCAGAGCTAACACAGGTTAAACAAACTGCTTGAAAAACGCTGCAATGTTTATGTAATTTTCCTAAGTGTTCAGTTATAACAAGGAATAAAAACTCATCTGATATAAAAGGAAAGGGTTCTGATTAATAGGTGTCTAGACTACAAGACAGAGCTGAAAAACCAAACATAACATAATGTTGTTAAGTCCTTTTTGAGCTTTATTGACAGCAAAATGCTCATGAACAGCTTTTACCTGATGTGTAGCCAGATAATCGCCCTCCAAGAGTGACATCAGCTTTGACTGTCAGTACAACTCACATGGGGTTTAAACTCTAATTTCTTCTTCCTGCTTTTGCGCAAGTATTAGCCTGCGCAGGCCTGCCCTCCTCAGGAACAGTACTTTTTGTTATGCAGCAAAACAAATCAATGACGAGGCCCAGGAATGCTGATCATGCAGTTTGACCTGAGACACACCCTTTTTTGTGCAACATGAACTAGAAATGCAGCTTAAGGTGAACTAACCTGTGTGATTATGTAAATAAAAGGAATCAGGTGAGTAGTATAAAACAGTTTATTAATGCAAATGCAGCGCCATCAAGTGTCACCACACAGTATTTATAAGATCAGTGTATTCCAATGCTTCTAGACTTCTTTATCATTTCAAACACCACTGGAGTGAGTGCTTGATCACAACAGAATGACAGTTTTTTTTTAAACATTCAAACAGTATTTATACATAATGGGGCTGTCACGCTGTTCTTATCTAATCAAGCCCAACAGGAAAACACAGCGTCTGGTCCATGTGAGGGCCGTGTAGCGAGTTTAAAACAAGCACAGGAACCATACATGATGACTGCTCAAACAGATTCAAAAATTAACCAGAACTTTGTGCAAAGCTGTTGTGGATTAAGTCTGGTGTAGACTCCTCATGAGCCTAAACGGGCAATCAAAGCATCTATCAGCTCCTGCTTCTTGGTCCCAGTGGTTCGAACCCCAAATTGCTTACAGGCGTCCTTTAGAACGGGCACGGTCAGCTTTGCCAGAGTGCCGTTCTGCACGTGGGCCTTCAACTCATCTTCTGTCAGCTCTACTTTGGGCTTCTTCTCAGCTCCACCTCCAGTATCAGCTGCGAGTTCATGGAGTAAAAGAATAATCAGATTTATCAAATCACAGAATTCCCAAACTACTGAATGATGCAAGTTATTAATAAGTCAATCTGACTACCTGGAAACATTTTGCTTAGGATGTAATTCACAACACATACTAGCACATAACTTTACGTAGTTTCACTGATGGTTCATGCTCTGACCTGTTTTGCGTTTGGCAGCTGGCTTGCTCTCTGGATTGTAGTAGGCAGGGTAGACCAGATCTTTGAACTCCTGGACCAGAGGACCCAGACGCTGGTCTATTTGGTCAACCTTTGGCACTGAGGAAGAGAAAGAGCGCGATGAGCAGAATTACTCTAGCAGCCACAAAAGGAAACTGGGATCTGTGTTTAGGTCTGCATCTTACTGATGAGATCCTCAATTTCCTCTGGAGCCATCATATCCAGAGCCAAGGCCTCCAGGTTCCTAAAATGCTGCTGGATGACTGGGTTCTCAAAACCTTCACTCCTGCATGACATTACAAGGTGTGAAAATAATATAATAATATTAGTGGTTACGCAAAAAACAAAAAAAGGAAATGCATGACTCTGCTATAAACCAGAGTACTTCTTGTTGTTAGTTTTATGAAATTTGATATAACTCCTCAGTTTTCCCTGTTAACAAAAAAGGGCTCTAGAGTTACCTGTATTTGAACCTAAGTTTGGAGACAATCTCTTTCATCTTGTCCACCTGTGTTTGTGAGGCCGAGGGAAACTGCGGAGGGTCCAGAGTCCGCAAATCATCGGCGAATGGCAGGTAGATGACGTTGAAACCTGGTAAGGTCATGAGCAGACAAGACGCGTCACGCTGCAGTCAGTTACACACAACTAAGTTCAAATGTTTAAGTAATATTTATGTATTTGCGAGTTCTCTGTATTACTGTAAAATTTAGTTATTTTTGCTAAAAGCTGTAAAGACGCTGAAGTTGCACTTAAAGAAGCTAAAATAATGAAATGTAATTAGCCATCTTGACCCCAGCACCACATTACCTGGTGGTGTAATCTGTACTTTCCCCTCGCCGAGCTCCTCATTCTGAGGCAATAGGGCAACAAACCGAGGTGGATAGTTTCTGCGGGAGATGAAACGGCACAGAGCGAACACGTTCCTCTCGCTGCACTTCTTCAGCAAGGCGGAGAACAGACATGAACTGCCTTGAGTAAAAATAAATAAAAATCACAGGATATCTGATTCAGTATCAATGAGATCCACATTTACTATGACTGAACAGACATTTTTTATAGCTGCTTACAATTTAATTAAAGCTTTTACTTTAAACCCATCATCAATTCTATTTTATCAAATGCTTCTCAAATTCAGGGGAGCCTAAGCATAACTCAGCTTTAACTCAGCGTTCTTGGAACAAAGAGTCTTTGCATGCAGGGTGTAGATGAGTGAAACTTAAGTTAAGTTGACTATGACCTTTATTTGAAAAAATATTTAGAAATATCCAGAGTCAACACTGTGGTTTTATTCTTCCTTCCTAGAATTAAATCAGACTGCACACACAGTTCTACCTTTCACCTCATCCTCCTCAGGATAGAGGAAGACAGCAGGCCGGATATGGTGAAGCAGTTTGAGCTTTTCCATCGGTTTGAATCCAATCAGAAACAATCCAGGGTCATCAAACTTCTTAATGGCATCCACCTCGTCCCTCTCCATCACAATCTCTTTACCACCATAATACTACACAACACACACACACAGATAAAGTGGAGTTTTCATGTGTAAGTTAAATCTTAAAAAAATAAAAAATAAAAAGCACTCAAATAATGGAATAAACATAGCACTGCTTTCGATTGGGATCACGAGATTTTCATTACCTGGGCTTTCTTTATCTCACTGGGCAGCAGCAGACTGCCAGTTTGGGTGTGGAAGGTTCGAGTTTTGCTGCGGACTGGCTCGTTGGTTTCCCTGTAAAGTTTGATGGAACCTGGTTTGCGAGCTGCCACAGCAGTTGCATAAATTCCCACGGCTACATTTATGCCCTCCCCGAGGCACAGGTTTAACCTAAAGACAGCAGAAAGAATAGATAGTGTAAAGAACAGCCAAGAGAAAAAGGTAAATAAATACGCTATGGAGACAAAGAAAGCCATTGCTTGCCTTGCCAAGGTTCTTTTCTTCAGCTCTTTGGCCCGCACCCGTTTCTGGAGGTCCTCCAGCTTGTCAGAAGGCTGCAGCTGCAGCCCCATCTCACTCTCATCCTCTGGTGGACTTACAATGTCACAAAAGAAGAGCGAGATGTTGAAGCCCCCCGGTTTCATCAGGTGCATTAAATCAATAACGACGCCTAAAAGAAGAGGGTCGAGGGAAGACAGCCCACATACACAATTACCAATGATAACAAATCATCATACTTCAGTAAAATAATGTGAACTTGCAGAATTAGCAGAAGATAGAAACCCGAAAGGCTGGTAAAGTTAATAAATTATAAAAGCAGAGCGGCAGTGATAAAATTTACAGTTAAAAGGGCTTGCGTGAATAGCTTCTTTTAGACCCACCAGTCTCCTTGAGATCACTGGCCTTGGTGCGAGCCTGTCGGTCTTTCACGCTGTCGCCTCCGTGTGGTTCATCCCTGCACGTGAAAATCATAAGCCGCTTGTGGGAGAGGCGGAGCTTGATGTCACTGTAGAGGTTGGCACAGCACCACAGAGCGTCTCCTAATGATGTCTCTCCACTGCCTATGGTCTCTGCCGCCAGCTTGGCACCTTTTCCCCCCCACAGAGCATCCACCTCCTGGACTCGCTTTGCACCTGTCCAAAGCAAGAGACAGACAAGGGTATAAGAAAGATATGTTCAGCAGTTTACAAACTACTGAGGAAGTATGAGCCAATATTGACTGCAGCTTTGCTCTGCTCTTTTGAAGTTTTGGTCTGAAATAAAGAAAAAAAAAAAGAGGAAAAAGAACTGCAGATAAGAAGATTGCCTACATTTGTGCTTGAAACAAAACAATAACAAAATAAAGTGTAATTATGTGTTTGTTTCAAAGAGCTGCATCTTACCAGGCTCATTGAGATCGTGGTACACATAGACATGCTTAAATGAGTTTCTGGGGTTCTTGCTCTGCTCTGTGCCGTAGAAAACCAGAGCCACCAGGTCCCTGTCGCTACTGATGATCTTACTGGTGTACACAGTGCGCACAACCTACAAGAGCAGCACACAAACCATCATTGTTACAAGGTTGCTATACGAAGCAGAGCGAAATAACTACTATAAAATTAAAACTAGCAAAAGAAAAAGATAACCAGCCATCTCACCTGCATGGTCATATCAAAGTTGGAGGGTTCCCCGTCTTCCCCTTTGATGAACATCTCCTTGGAGGCATCAACCAAGAACACCAAGCTGTCTCTCCCTGTAATTTTGTAGTCTCCTATTGAAGATGGAGACCTGGTTGATTCTGTTGTCACTTCAGTATCACTTTTTGTATCAATGCTACTTGCCAACATTTTACTTGTGCTGAAGTAGATTTTAATAACTAAAATGTGATAATAAAATGTGATAACAGCAAAAGTATCATTTAAGAAATCCTGAGCCACCACTCAATTCTTGACTTTTTGCCAGGTGCAGCATTTATTGAAACATGTGCAAAGATACAAGGAAATACAGTATATAAAGCAAGTATTCTCACAAAGGTCAGTTTATACTATTTTACAAACTTGAAAGTCAATATTTGGTATGCCAACTTTTATTCATCAACACAACCCTAACTCTCTAAGGTAAGTTTCTTGTCATTTCATTAAGTAGTCTTTAGGAGTAGTTCTCCAGGCTTCTTGAAGAACATTCAAACTTCCTGACTGTGACAGGATGAGCTGACTGTGACAGGAAGATAGCGCGTTTGCTCGGCTTGACTTCTACCTGCCTACGTTGAATTATATTTTATGCTCTTATATCAGCCCTGACGTTTAATATATGGAGCTATGCCGCTGTGATTTACGACCGTTCTTCCATATTGATGATGCCTCACCTAACTCTGCAGCTGAACTTTTATTGTTAGTTGCCTTTCTACACCTGAATGATTTATAAGTCAGTGTTAAGTGAATTAAGAATTCCTCTGAAAATTGCCAGGTTCAAGAACTGGAGTTAATAAAGGGGGGAAAGCAGCCAATGTTTAAAGAAAAACTTTGAAAAACCTTCATAAAACCTGGAAAGCTATTACACAAAACACAACAAAGTGGGGCTCTTAGGAAGCTAAATATAAACAAATAAGTGGTGGCTCAAGACTTTTGCACAGCGGTGTAAATAAGCGTTGAGTAGCGGTTTTTCCTTTTACCCCCTGACTGCTCCCCTTCTTCTTGCTCTCCCTCCTCATCCTCGTTTTGGTAGTAGGCGTTCCACTCTGCCATTGGTGCTGCCTTCAGTCCCGTCTCAGGATTTACTGTGAAAACCAAGGATAAAAGACTGCCGCATTTACAACACTAGATTCAAACAAAGTATCAATGGCAGAAGGCTTTTCTGTGGCGTATTTAAAAAGTGCATCCTATGTACTCCTACAAATAAACATATGGTGCAACTTTCACCAGATAATAATTATTATGCACACGACAAGGTATTTCAAAACAGTTTTAATGTCTCGTTAACGCATTACTAATGTTTAATTAACTATGTTTTTAACTTTAGCTAGCAAATTTTAGCTAGCTTAGCTTGTACTTAGCCACTTTTCGTGCCATTTCCATTTAGGAGCACACTATGTAACAATGTTATGGGTCTAATGAGGCACGAAAATTGATAGCCTAAACTTACAACATAAATGAAATACATACACAGTTTTCGTCAGAGAATTCCGTCACTTACCTTGTGCTTCTCCTTTCTGCACACAAGTCCAGGCTAGTTTTAATCACTGGCGCGTTCAGATACGTGAACAAGCACGGTTCAAACGCCTACTGGATGTCTTATCGTCTATTGGCAGTTTATCTGCCAATCTAAGGTATTGGCCAATCCCGTTTAAAAACGCGGGGTTTATTTACCCTAAAGCCGGAAGCCTGCTGTTCACGTGATAGGACAGTAGCGTTATCGTTGATAGACAGTGACACAGCACTGGAATTGACTCCCGGCAACTTCGAGCTAGGTTTTACATTTACTTTTTTATTTTACAGTTATTACTAGCATTTTAAACAGCCTGTAGCCTGAATTTATTCTTTCTCACAGTTCCACCACCAGAAGGTTTATTAAACTTTTCTTTGCCACCGGGAAGCTAGCTAGCTGGGAACTCTGTAGTGACTAAGTAACTTTCTAGAAGGTTAGCTGCATTGTCGTTTCGAATAAATCGTTTTGCGTTATCATGGACCAAACTGATTCTTATCCAGTAAAACTTTACGTTTATGACCTGTCCAGAGGGATGGCCCGTCAGCTGAGTGCTTCCATGCTGGGTGAGTTTCTGACTCTGTCATGACTCAGTGGGATGCTTCGGAAGTGAAAGTTGTTGATTTCTAAGGGCGGAAAAAGTTGATCGTAATTTAAATTATTTTATCTTTACAGGGAGACATATTGATGGGATATGGTGAGTTTACATAAAGAAAGTTCTATAAAAAGTATTCTTACTGAGCACCTGAGCTGCAGTTAAGTAGTTTAATACCACTGTTTAAAAAAACAAATGCATTGCCGTCTAACAGGCACACGGGTGTTGTGGTCCACGGGAAAGAGCACTACTTTGGTGGATCAACAGGCATCACCAATTGTCCACCTGTAAGAATCAGCACCATCCTCTCATATAAACAGTGCACTTTAAAGCCGTTTGATCTAGACACAAAATCAAGAAACTTGTGTCAGAATCTCAGTGACAAGTCACTGAAGTGTGCATCTGTTTGTCTCCTAGGGAGGCACCCTGTTGGGGCCGCCTGATTCTGTAGTAGATATGGGCTCCACTGAAGTGCCTGAAGACCTTTTTAAGGAGTATTTAACTTCACTGGGAGAGTCCAAGTACAGGTAAAAGAAGATGATGAGATCTTTATTATTATAATTGTTATTATTGTTGTTGTTGTTGTTTTGGAAAAATACAGCTGAACCAAACAGTTACAAATGATTTGTTTTTAAGTAGCACCAGTAGAATTAAGTGCATAGCTTGAATGCACAGAACAAGGCTCATGCGTTACTGCCCTGTTTGAGTCTAAATAATAGTTTTTAGGAATGAGCTAAAATGTACATATAGTGTTCTTCCCCCTCATTATTTTGCATTTAAAATGTTTCTGTCTCATCACTTCCTGCTACTCACCTGCTTTTCTCCACCCTGTGGTGCACCTCTCTCTCCCTCTCTCTGCACTTTGAACTCCTTCTTCTTCCCTCCTCTGACTTCCTCCTTCATTTGTTGCAGAGGTGCCAATTACAACTTGTTTGAGAACAACTGCAACACTTTCAGCAGTGAAGTGGCTCAATTCCTGACAGGCAGAAAGATCCCATCGTACATCACAGACCTTCCATCTGACATCCTCGCCACGTAAGCTTCTTAATTCTGTGCAGTCAAATTGAGTCTCTGCTGATACTGATGGCAAAATACTAAAAATGCATAATAATATCAATTATGTTATAGATAAGAAATATAAATGGAAAATGCATTTGAAATTATATGCACCCTGAATGTTGTATTAAATACACCATTACAATATGAATGTACAGTTGTCAAAAATTAGAGACCTGGGTTGAGAAACACTCAAAACACTGAGAATGAGAAAACTATTTTTACACTGCCCAAAATAAACTACTATTTTTGGTCAACTATGAACACTAATAAGACATTTATTGGCCTTTTCACATGTAGAACTTTCAGCTCCACTTATTAAAGATTTAAGTGAGTGATTTAATTTTGACCCGGTGTCGTTTGTAGAAAAATCCAAAATAAATGGAAACTTAAGTGCCCAATTCTTGTTATTTAAAGACATTAAAGATGTATGCTGTACAATCATTTCATCCTGCGTCTCTTTTGAACGATTACTCTTGTAGTATTAAGTGTTTGCTGTTCTTGTATGATATAACTGACTAATACTTTGGTTTGTAATGTAACGGTACTCTCTGCTGTATTTCCTCACAGACCATTTGGCCAGGCTCTCCGTCCCTTCCTGGATTCCATGGTCATAAATCCTGGAGGCAACAACCTGGCTGGGCAATGATAGACCGAGTCGTGGATTTTAGAAGATAACTGATAACATCCCTGCATGTGGCTGGCAAGTCACTTCTATATTTAATCAGCCATCACTTATTGTTATTGACTTTTATGGTGTTATTCAACATACTCTGAGGTGTATGCGAGGGGTGAAGGTGTGCTAAACTCTGTGGACAGGGGACTAAAAATGGGTCTTATACTTGTTTGTGTACATTAACGTGTTTAAGATTACGTTTTCTTGGGTCAGCAGTAGTGGTGCAACGGATCAAAAATCTCACGGTTCGGATCGGATCATGGTTTTAAGTCACGGATCGGATCAATTTTCGGATCGGCGGAAAAAGACAAAAATTTAACATTTACTTATTGAAGTATTTTTTGCCGGTTAAAAACATTCAACTCAAGACTCATTCCACGCAATTATTAAAAAAAAAATTCTGGTACAATATAGGGCAGTACAGTCTTTGTATCTACCATTTAATTCAGTTGTATTTATAAAGCGCCAAATCACAACAACAGTCACCTCAAGGTGCTTTATATTGTAAGGTAGACCCTACAATAATACATTATATCGCACTCCGCTGTGATATAATGAGCTGTCACGGTCACGTGGCTTTCCGTTGCCCTGGAGGTCTGCCCATTTGTAGTAGTTAGGGCAACAGAAGATGCCTGGGACAGTTCAGCCGTAACTTTAAACTTTTCCTGCTCATACATGCTTGGAACGATCTTGCCACTAAAGTTGACGCGAACAGGATATCATAGCGTGGCTCAAGCACGTTCATCATAGTTTAAACCCCTTGTTTTGCACAACGGAATACGCCCTCCCGTCTGCAGCTAAACACCCCAGTAGCTTTTGTAATAGCTTTAGCCCGGTCGGACTGGGCAGCAAATACCGCAAACTCCTCTGCTCCTCCACTTCGACCGCTAGCGCTGGCCATAACTATCGCTTGACAGACCCACCACGCGCACCATACACATACTTTTTTTTTTTTTTTTTTTTTTTTTTAGATCCATCACAGTGCAGCAAACTAACCTGTTTATCCTGCACTAACCTGCAGAGTAGGGCTGGGCGATATGGCCTAAAATCAATATCATGAT